TGTTTTGCGCTGTCAACGGCGTGCTCTGGACCCTGTGGCCCGAGGTTCGAGCCCCACCACCGCCACCCAACTTTGGTGGTAGATAACTTTGCTGTCACCCGGTTCTATACCACGCCTGAGTTAGCGGTTCGCCACTACAAATCCCGGGGCTTAGGCTGCCGGTTACAATCACTGAACAGCAGGTCTTCGTGACTATGGGGTCCGCCCCGACTCCTGTTCACCACACACCGGTATAAAATAAGAAAACCTTGTGCTGAACACATTGTGTTCTCTGTCATAGTTAGAGCGTGTTCACAATGCAATGTGTGCCCTTAATGTGTGTTACACATCGTTTATACATTTTACATGATTGAAGAATCCTTTATTAATAGTAATGTTTTCATAACTACCAATGACCGCAACTTAAGGCAAGATAAGGGAATTATAAATTTCAACGAACCCTCCATGGACAACAAAGATATCACTTACGTCAAGAACTTCATCGCTTGTTACAATGCACTGAAATTCCGATTGAACAGCAGGTGGACCAAACGCATCGGTTAGCTCGACCACATTGAACCGTGATTTGGCCAGTCCAATTTCCCGTAGGAAGTACTGAACCTCATCCGAGCGTTTTTGCCACGAAAGAATCAGCGGTGCTAATTGTTTGCGTCCAAGCATGGCACAACTGGTAATGCCCACAAGTAACTGCTCCGATGACAATAAAGCCCCGACACTCAACAGGATTTTATGCCCGTTGTGTAAACGGTCAAATGTACCACCAAGACAGACATGGGAATACGTGCCTTGCACAGAGATGACGCGGAGATCCGAAGTCATGGAGTTCGTGTTTGCAGGATCAGATGCGGCCATGCTTTCTTCCGATAACCAAAAACATGGGAACATGCATACCTATAGACTACGTGGATGAGTAAACCAACGACTCAATGAAAACAAAACCGGCGATAACCGCGAAACTGTTTGTGTGCTTACGAGAACGGTTGTTATTATTATTTGGATAGCAGTTTTGATCACATATAAATATCATAATAAGTACCATGTGAATGACTGGAGAAAGTTTCCCTGGAAGCACAGGACCGAATTCGCGGTTCTTGCCGCTCGTCAGGTATGCGTATCCGCTAATCTTTTGTCAGTTTATTCACATACTTGTACCCAGGAAGTGTATTTTCGTCACAACTTTGTTTGCAACACCGGGGTGACTTTTGGATAGACAGCTCTTTCAGAATCAGTCTATCAAAGAATCAATACTATGATTCTATATTTTGTAGGTGGGTTAGACGCTACTAAAAGGAAAGAACGTGACTTGATGGTTTTTAAAAAGTGTTTCATAATATATACACATAAAATAGATATACCTGATGATTCTATTTTTAAATTTCTTATTTACGAGGTATACAAAATGTGTTGTTCACAGGAATATCAACCCCAAAAAACTTTCAGTATAAGACAACTTTTCTTAGAGCAAATGAAAAGTATAAAAGGATACCAGAGATGCCGGGTAAACAATAACCCAAACTGGTTTAAGAAATCAAGCACACTCATTCTAGATCTACTGAAATCAGAAGAAGCTAGCGGTAAACCTGCATAAACTAAGTTAGTTGTGACACTGAATAGCAGATCGCGAGTGCGCCCGTTGTTCACCGACACAGGTGATACGTGGAAAAAAGGGTGGTCAAACTAAGACCCCGACCAGGAGACTTGCTCACATAAGTCATGTTAGAATTCCTCGAAAGGAACCTCGGGATCACGATAATCGATGGTTAGAGGCACTGATTGATATGGCTGGGTGTCGCAAACAGAGGCACTCGTTTATCTACTCAGTGCTCTAGTAATGTCTGCGTAAACTTCCCACTTTTATTTAGAGATTGATCTTAACATTCCTATCTTCCCTTTACTTCTTCACCCATATGGGCAGCCATGAAACAGCAGACAAAATCATCGCATAAAAGTGCATGGCTATTGGTTGTGAACACTTAACTAAAATGAATTTTAAATTCAGACAGCTCCACAACTAGCGTGTCACTTTCAGTAGAAGAAAATTAGTTAACAAATATCTGTACCCAGTTCCTTTAGGGCTGGCTTTCAATCGGCTTTTCCTCTAAAAACAAACCACGAGTAATAAAAAATGAAACCTTTCGCGGATTTTTCTCCTGATTACTGGATAGTACAATATTGATTGCTCTTCTCCACCACACACACATGATGCATAAAGGTGTATCAGTTTTTGTTCCAGTTTCTACAACCATTAACCATGCACTTCCGTGGGTCGTTTTTCGTTGCTGTCTTTTGGTGCCCCACTTGGATGAAGACTGGAATGTTGAAAGCAAATTCAAGCGGAAGATGGAGAATTCATATAGTGATGTTAGGAGAATAATGAGTGGACACACGAGCGCCACTGTTTGCGACACCTAGCCATATCACTCAGTGTCTTTAACCGTCGGTGACCATCATCTCGAGGTCCCCGGCCAGGGAGCCTAATGGGGCTTATGTGATCTGGTCTCCTGGTTAGGGTTTTCATACCCTCATGCCAGGTCTTCGTTTGACCTGCAATTACTTTAGGAAATTGGACAAAAGAGGACCTCACCGAATGGTAGTTTTGGAAAAAAAGGGTACATTAACATGCATGGAAAAATTCAGTCATAGATAACAAATGTAGACTTTCAACAGTGCTTACCATCAACCGCCAACATAATTCCATTTTTGTACGAAGGATTTAACCGAGTGGCCAACGTTCGTGCAAACTGAGTATCAGAAGACTGAGTGAGCACTACATCGAATTGTAAAGGATCCGGATTGGTGGTTGGGAAGGGAAGTAGAAGGCGCACATCCAGCAACGGACAGGCCTAGTCAGTAGATTTCAAACAGAACCTCAGTACTCACTTCAGATGCAGTCGTGTAACACACAGAGACAGCAGTTTTCCAATAGTTTAAACTGGCACTGGCATGCGGTACGGTCACAAACAACTTCTGACGAACGAGGGTTTTGGCGAACTGGAACAATGAAGTCAGTCTGTGTTTCTGCACCAGGTTTGACACAATCAATAAGCCTGAGTTGTGCGCCATCGGAAAGCAACTACCCAGTTAGCAAATGGAGGAAAATACGAGAAAATGTTGACCGTAACCGCTGAAGAACACGAAAACATACAAGTTTAGTAGACTGATCAAAGCGGACGGAAGAACGAACTGACTGGATTTAAAAGTCCGTAACACAAAGGAAAAAAGGAAATTATAATTCCACACGTGCCTTAAACGAATCTCAGA